TATATATATGAGGTTCTTGTTTAGTGTGCAGAAATATTAATGCACAAAAAAAGTTAGGTACATATGTACATATTTCCCGMAATACTTACACAATTATTTACAAAAATTAAGTTAAAAAATTAACTGTTTTACTAAAATAAGAGATTTTCGAAACTTTAATCGGTTACTAGCTCTCTTCAAAAAGCATGCGCTGTAGTAATGGTAGAAGACCAATACCTTCATYGCAGTGCTTCAGAGGATTTCAGAGACGGGCAATAAATAGCAAACATATTTGCCAAAGAAGGGAACACAAGGGAAAGCCAATAAACTCTAGACTAGTTCATCACAAGCGGACTAAACCAATAAACTTCTAAGGGACCTCAATTCGAATGAGGAGATGTCCGCTCGTCCGTCGATGCATTCGTCCACAGGGTGTGTCCGACCGCCTCTAACACCCCCTTGTTAATTTTTTTTGTATTGCAAAATCGTCTCGGTTAGGACCTTTTGCAGGACTAAAGAAATACCTGTGCCACTTCCCTTCTTTTCGTGATGTAGTACGGACGTAATTCCGGCTCAAATATAGCCCGAAAAATACGGTATAAATTCGCCCGAAAGCTCGATAATCTTTATATTAAGTATTTGGGGGTTAAGGGAAATATTGCCCGATTAAACCCAGTTCCTTTAATTACATTTATACTATACATATCACACATTAGCTGCGATTTTCAATCAAAACTCATCTATAGATATCGGGTAGTCTAAATATTCGCTACCAAGGGGCTTGAACAGTTTTTTATTGAATTTAAACAATTTTTGGTCATAAGGTGGCACTCATTAAAGATATTATTCAGTTTATCCCGTTATGTTAATTGATTCTTAATTTGATCTGAAGAACGAATTTAGAATTCTGCTATATGGGAGTAAGTGTGTTTGTTGACCGATTTCATCCATTTTCACAGAGGGACATAAGAATGTCACGTACTAAATTTTGTCGAAATCCATTTGGTCGGGTCTCGAGATATGAAATTTCACGAAAAAGTGTCACGTGTTTTCTTCTTCTTCTTTATTTGCGTAGAAACTGCTTACGCGGTTATAGCCGAGTTACAACAGTACGCCAGTCGTTCCTTCTTTTCGCAAGGTTGCGATAATTGGAGATTCCAACCGAAGCAAGGTCCTTCTCAACCTAGTCCCCCCAACGGAGTGGAGGCCTTCCTATTCCTCTGCTTTCCCTGGTCGGTACTGCGCCGAATACTTCCAGAGCTGGAATGTTTTCGTCCAACCAAATGACTTGACCTCGCTCGCGTAGCCGCTCTTTTAATTCGCTGAACTATGTCAATGTCATCGTATATCTCATACAACTCATGGTTCCRTCGAATGCGGTATTCGTTGTGGCCAATGCGTAGAGAACATTAAATCTTACGCAGAACTTTTCTCTCGACGGGAATAATGTGAGACTTATAGAGTTTTGTTTTAGTTCGTCGAGAGAGGACTTTTCTTCTCTATTGCCTACTTAGTCCCAAGTAGCACCTTTTGGTAAGAGTTATTCTGCGTTGGATTTTGAGGCTAACGTTGATGTTGATGTTGATGCTGGTTACAAGATAGACGAAGTTATCTACGACTTCGAAGTTACCACTGTCAACACTGACATGAGAGCCAAGCGTCGAGGTAAACACATATATTTCGAAGCTATTTCCACAATACTTAATTTTTTTCTGTAAAATTGCGTCTGATGTTTTGCATACTCAACTCTCTTCTCATCTCTTGCTTTCTTTACCAAATACCTTTCGACCTACTGCTCCACATCACCCAAGTCACCAAGGTTTTTCTAGAAACCCAGACTATTAAAAATATTGCATTTCGAGATGTACACTGTTTCTATAAAATAAAATCCTAGTGAACAAGCTTTGACTCGATTTGGGGTGAGTTTACTGTTCGTCACGGCAATAGTAATATTATATACATATGTATGTATATAAGGTTTGACGACGGAGCATATGCTGTTTATTTCGGTTCTTACATGACTGCGGCAACTGATAGAAAGTCTATGCACAATTAGCAGGTGGAACCGTTAGTAAACCTATTATGGTGGAATAGTAATAAGCGGAATAAAGTCCGCCCTTGAACATTAGAACGAACGCTAAATATTTGTAGTTCATTGTAGGCAAAAATTTAAATAATCAATCAGCCAATGAAGCATAAAAACACCTTGAAACATTTTTATAATTCAGCACCCAACACAACGGCACGTGACATGCGTCAGCGGCGTTTTTTAATGACACTTCCGCTCAATAGCTGTCGAATCATGTAGATAAATACTACACTTATACAATGCAGTACTTAGTACTGGAGGGTATTATGGTATAGCTATGTTCTGAAATTCACGCTAAGTTAGTTCTTTTGTTTTGTATTTCATAGTAATTTGTGAAACAATTACGAATTATTTTCGTTGGTTAACATTTCCTTGGGCATTAGCTCAAGCCAGAAATATACAAAAATATTTCGATTCTGATAACTATATACAGGAAATACAAATTGCTGACATGATGCGGTCTTCACTATTTTCCAAAACTGCTACCCAGCTATTTTTTTCCTTTTATCTAATCAGAGAAGAACTGTAGCTAAAATCCTACCTAGAGCAATTCCGTTAAGCAAATCGTATCAAAGAATGGTATCACTATCTATGGCTAATACAATCGAAATCGAAATTTAGTATGCTCTTGTTTTATTTTTAAAACGGTATAGGAGAGGATAAAAATTTGATAGTTTTAGAAATTGTATAGTAGGCGTGACATCATCATATAAACTTTATGAGTCTAATATTTTTCACTAGACCATATTTTGGGTAGGAAACAATTCACGAAATKATTACAAATATTGTTTGATATTACTTTTAGTATATACATACAATAATATAAAAAAACACTATTTCCTTTTGTGTCCGCATAACGTTCGAAGCACAGCACAGAAAAACAGGAATTTTAATAGATCCATTGATTGTTGCGATGTGTGGAAAGTGGCACCGTCTTGTTGAAACCAAATATCGCCGAGATCAGGCACGATAAAGGTCACCATTGATGGTTACATTCTCACAGGCATGATTTTTGAAGAAATCTGGACCCGTGATTCCACCGGTTTACGAACCACACTAGGGCAATATTTTTTTGGATGGAATTGCAGCCACACCCATTGAACCAAATTTGACTCGAAAATGTTTGATCTTCTTGGAACTTTTCAAGAGCCCATAGAGCGAAGCAATGTCGCATAAAATGGTCGAGCAACTCCAGTTCTTGCATAATCTGGATTTTGTACGCTTTCATTTGAGGTCTCTACATGAAATGCGCCAAGTCGTTCCAAACGTCAGCCCCCTTTGTTGCGAATAAGCGCTGCGCGCTGGACGTGGTTTATTCGGTCAAATATCATCCAATAATGAATGCTGGCTSTATAGATGGGTGATGGGGTCGGGAATAGTACACTCAAGAAGCCGATCATGTTRAATACAAGTTGAGGGAAGCGCGTAAAACACATTCTTAACTTAATTGAAGGATTTGTAAACGTTACTCAGGCGTAAGTCTTTCCACGATGAAATGYMAAACAATAGTGAACAAAAATAACATGACACTGGACATGATCTGTCAAAAGAAAGGTCTCTCAATTTAATTTTAATTTGAATAACAGCTTGCACAAACAAATGGACGAACTGCTCCCGAATTTCTCTTCAAAATACATATTGGTGAATTCGCTTTTTTGATCGCCTCCTTATATTGAATATAACATTTGACCTTTTAATGTACATTTCTTTCTAGTTAAGGGTGGAGCCT